ATTGCTGTACATTTTTTAATGAATTTATTTGTCTTTTTCTGTAAAATCTACATACATAGAAAGTGACACCGTAAAAAAAGCGCGCAGGAGAGAAACGAGCCGACAAAAGTGCGAAGACAAAAACGCGCAATAAAACACGTCAAGTGTAAGAGAATTTGTATATATTTTAAAATACATCCAAAACCAAACTACGTCAACCCAAGGCACAAGAGTGAATGTCGTGCGTTTATTTGACATGGTTGTTTTATTTCGCGCTTTTGTTACAGTGCTCTTTTGATACTGCGTATTTTTGTCGGCGCGCTTTTTTCCTGTGCGCTATTGTCGGGTCACCATAGAATGGCTACAGTTTTTCTGCCCATTTTATTAAAATTATTATTAACAAATTTTTCAAGGTCTTATTTTCAGTGTATTTAAAATTATATGTTTTATCAGTTAATTTAATTTAAAGTTATAAAACATAATTTAAATTCGGATCAGTTCCAGTATCAAAATTGAGTTAAAGATTAGCAAGTAAACGAAATCCATCGTACGTGTAATTAAATTGGCGAAAAAAATGATATTCATCGATGACTAGAACGTAGGAATACAAAATTTTCTCGGTGACTCCGAAGAAGAAAAAAAAATCTTTGCTTACATCCAAGATTCCTTTTCCCTTATACATATTTTTTCCTCAAGGACCTCAAGGAAAAGGTAAAAGGTCTGAGGATTTTATAAGTTTGTTTTAGTGCCGAATCGATCCCAATTTCTGGCTTACAAAACCGCCCTACGACAGCGACGCCTTGGGAGTGGGCGTCGGCGGATTCGGCTACGACAAACACACCCACACCAAAATATACATGTGTGTGTATATATACATACACACATACACATGGTGCCCTTCCAGTCGCAGCTCGGGATTACGTAAGGGACCGCCGGATCCGTTTCCAATTAAGTCAAAAAATAATTTCTGCGATCGGTTTTCTGCTTCCAATTACTTATTTATTGTCGAGGAAATTCGAGGCGCGTCGTTGTTACTGCGGTTGTTGTTGTCGTTGATGGGATGGAAGATGATTATTCGGGGGATTTTAATGAGGTCCACGGGAGGACTTTTTGCGAACGCCGAAGAAAAAAAAACATGAAGAAAATAAAACAGAAAAAACACTGTAAAAATATTTATGGGATATGGAATTCTCTCCTTTTGCTTTCTCCTCTCCCTTCCCTGGGAGTGATTATCGGGCTACACCCTTTGCACGGCCCTTTCTGGGTCACCCATTAAATTCGTTATGAGCGACCCAAAAACGTTCGTGAATTAATAAGGAACAACAGTCGGGGTCAATTAGCAAAGTGCCGCGAAAATAATTCCATCGATTTCGACTTCCCATTTTTTTTCTTCGTTTTCCTTTTTTGGTTGGTGGATCTTCCATCCGTTCCATTTGCAGTCGCAGAGGTCAATAATTAATTTCACGTTGTTAATTCCCTCCTGGATTTTCGAAGGACATTAATAGCCTCATCCACCCTTTATTCCTCTCGAAAACCATGGCACGGTTTGGCCCACTGGGAGCTTTTATTATATACATGTAAGTCGTAACAAATATTTGTCTATTTGACAAGCTGAGCACGTAACCAGGTCTCTATATAGATATAAGGGAGGCCCGGAGATAGCATCTGCCGTGGGGGACAAATCGTTAGGGATATAATGAAGTTTATGTGTGCGTCTGCATCGATCGGATAAAGATGTTTTAAACCCTTTGATGTGTGTCACTTGTCTCGCCGGGAGAGACACCCCTCTTCCCTTACGTCCCCAGAATCAAAGGGCAAAACCCCTACACGGTTTATCTTAAACTTCCATTTGCCAAACAAAACTATCCAAGCGAATACAGTATTAAATTAATCAACCGGTATAGCTATTATGCTTCCAAAGTCGTCTATAAATTACACACGACTTTAACACCAAATTGATTTTCCATTCAAACATCCAATTTTTGATCTCCGTCTCATATCTGAATAAACACATTACATCCAAATAATTTCACCATTACAGACACACATTTTAATCCATTAATTAAGATATTTTAATATTTCCGTTTCATAAGTTAATAGTAACATTATATCCAAATTGTTTCAACATTACAGACACAAATTTTAATCCACTTATCCAGAAAATATTTGTTTATTATCTCAAATATTTATCCATATCTCAATAATGACATCAAAATAATTTGACCATTATAGACACACATTTTAACCAATTCATCAAGAAATAATAGAATCTTTTCTTAAACTTATAAAATTTCAATCAACTTTCAAATTTTGCTCGTCATTTCATATCTCAATAATCACATCCAAATAATTTCACTATTACAGATACATATTTTAACTGATTTATTAAAAGAAAATAGCAATTTTGTATCTAAATTTCTTATCAAAATAATCACATCATATCTAAATAATTTCATCATTACAGACACATATTTCACCAAGGAAATTAATTGAATTTCTTCTCAAACTTGTAACATCTCAATGAACATCCAATTTTGGATCTTCATTTCATATCTTAATATATACATCATATCCAAATAATTTAACCATTACCGATACAGATTTTAATCCATTTATTAAGAAAATCCGGCATATTTTTTCTCAACCTTGTAACATCGCCAACAAAGACTTTTTATATGTAACAAAAGATTATTTTCAATAATTTAAGTTCATTGAGTATATTTCTATTGTTCTAAACAATTAAATGAAAATTACTACAATTATATAAGATTTTATAAGTAAAAAAACTCCTATTTTGATTCTAGCTTAAGATGATTTTTTGAATTTTTTTTTAAATTGTAATTTATTTATAAATATTATATAAATAAATTTCACTGCAATTAGAAAAACTGATTTTTCCCAAAATTTAATAAAAAAAATTATGATTTTTTTTAAATCTTATGTATTTACTATATAAGATTTAAATAATAAAATTCATGAAAATTCATCTTGTCGTGATGAAAATGGAATATTTCAACATACAATATATATAAAATTGCATGTATGAAAATTTACTAAATTTTAGCCTTATAAATAATGAAAATTAATATTCAATGAAAACAGTTTCTTTTATATTAATAATATTATAATATGAAATTTTTACTCCTTTTTTGTATATTACCTAGAAGATGTTTTTTTTCCATTTTGTTATGCAATATTTTTTCTTTTACAACCTGGTAACACATTCAATATAAGAAACCAATAAAAAAAAGAGGAGGCATAAAATAAAAACGGATGCAGAAGAAGAGGAAGAGAGAAAAAAATTACGAGGAATTCAATTTTATGTCATATTTCTGATGATGACACCGGGAACAGACGCGAAACCAAAACAAAACGACAGGGAAGTATCGGAAGGAGGAAAACCCAGACAGGAAATGTCACTTGATTTGAGATTTCTGGCGGTTTTATGGGACGTATAAAAATTTATATTGACGCATAAAAACAGTCACGACCTCGTTTCCTGGTTACAGCAAATTTTATCAGCCAAATAGAATCAGTTACTTTATATATATACAACTTTATTTTTATAAATATGTATGTAAGGCAAAAGAAATGGAAAACAAATATCGGTATATACAAATGTTACATAATGAACCGGAACGCAATGGAAAGGGCAAGGAACGTATATTTCATAAATAATAAGCACTCGATGTCGACATGCGAGGCAGTAATTGCTGATGAATTGTAAAGCACATTATTCTACATTAAATGCTGCATTTTGAACAACCGAAAATTAATTTACTAGTATTTCGATAAAATCGCTCTTTTTACATAAACCACAAACACAAATCATCAGAATAATAATGAATATTTGGCATTTACGTCTTCATTCGTGTTTGTTTCGTCGTTAATTTAAATCATTGTATTAATTTTAGTCACGTTTTTAACATTCTCATATTTAGTATAATAAATGTACATTTACACAATATTTTATTATGTTCATTTTATAATATTAGTGCTTGATTATGTTAATCTAATGAATTATTTTTAGAAACGCTATTATTTGCATTTTTATTATTATTATAAAGGTGAGTATACACTATGCTTTGTAGACAACATTTCTAATATTTATCAAATAGACATGACAGAAAATTTTATTCCAAAAAATCATATTATGTTAGATTTACAAACGTCTAATACTATAATTTACTATAGTTTCAATGTTTGAAACCCTCGAATAACACTGTTTGTGACCCTCAACTAACGTTATTTAGGACTAACTAAGCTCGACTAACACTGTTTGGGGCCCTCGGCTAATACGGATTACGTCCCTCGACTAACACTATTTAGGACGCTTGACTAACACTGTTTGGGGCCCTCGACTAACACTGATTAGGTCCCTCGACTAACACTATTTAGGACGCTCGATTAATACTGTTTGGGGCCCTCGACTAGCACTGATTAGTTTTTTGACCGCAAATGGGGCCCGTTTATTAGTCCATATAGACAATGCTTCTGCACATTTAATTACTTGCTTAATTACAATTAGTTTATCAACTAAATATGTTTTTTGTTAGTTGATAATTACTAAGTACTAATTATAAATTGTTTATGATTCTACTAGTTTTTACAAATACAAAAAAAATCTGCTGTAATAAATTATAAATATAATTAATACTTTAGATATTTTAATTATTAATATTGTTATTTTCATATGTTCTGTTCTGTTTGACTATTCAGATTAAAATAAGCAAGAGAGAACAAATTAGTTATATAAAATAAAGTATAAATGAATTACACTTTTGACCATAGGCCAATTTAATATTTCATTAAAAATTATTTGTTAATAGTAAAAAAACAAGGTGAAAATCTATAAGTCAGTAAATTATTGCAATAATTTATATTGTTGTTAGTAGTATAAATCATTATTCTCAATATTTATCCACTATGAATTTCATTGTTCAACAATATATAGTTCACATTACGTATTTTTATATGTAATCGATAATATTTAGAAAATATACTTTTTAATTATTACTTACCGCTAGACACTTGAAGACATATGGCTTGGAGGCAAATGATCGACAGAACAAGACTTCTCCCTGAGGTGTGCCGGTGTGCTGGGGCCATACTGTGTCCTAAAAATAAAACAAAACCATTAATAAATAATCCAATAATTATCTGTTATAATATTATAAATATCTAACAATTATTTGGATTCATTAAAAATTATTCCATTTTCTTGTGAATATTATATAATACAAAATGTATTTATTTGTTGTTTTCATATAAAATAATACATTGACTTATTTTATAAATAATAATACAATATTTTCAAAATTTATAAATCAATCTGTACAACTGTATTACAAAAATAAATTCAATGTTTTAAACTAGTAAATCATGTTTTTTCACAATATTTTTTAATACAACAACATCCTATAAATCTCCCTTTTTTTGTTATATAACATGAAAATGTTGGGTCTATATTGCAAGCCCGACAACCGAAATACCGTCTATTGAAATTCCAACGTTTGAAATCCCGACTATATCAAAATCTCGACAACCATAATCCCAACTGTTGTCGGGCTTGAGATTGCCACCGGAAAATGTTCAGTTGTGTATTTAAATGTAAAATTAGAATAAACGTATCTAAACAAATACATTGTCCATTAAGCATTTGTATTCGGACTATGTACAACAATAGATAGATCACAATATACGAAATCAACATTTCCAGTAATTTTGACCTGACACACATGCTGCATGAACCTACATTCGTTTACATCGCACAAACATGTTACACACATTGTATGTATGCTGTGGCCATGTCACAAGTCTCTGAAATTACTCACTAAACTCCATAACAACAATTACACACTTCTAAAATACAAATTAACATTTTTCCATAGACCATTATTACACATACTCAACCAAACATCGACTACACTTTAGCATAAACATTTTATTTTTGGCAAAAAAAATATACATGATAAATTCCGAAATAGTTTTATATGAAAATGCAAATATGTCACATCTACAATAATTTATTGAGAGAAACAATTAAAATTAAATTTATTGACTATATATTAAATAAATATTGAAAAGTTTTTTATGATTAAGTAAGTAATAAATGAAATATAAAAAATAATAACTTCTTTCACAACATTTTTTTTTTAATTTATTTATTTTCACATTTTTATTGTTCTTAATTTGGACCAAAAGGATATTCTTTGTATAAAAGAATCAATAATCATTGAAAATAAAAGAAAACTGAAGTACTTCAATCCATATTATATATAATTTAATTAAATTAATATAAGATTTCTTATACTAATTAAATGAAAAGACGTTTCTATTAATTTGTGAGTGAATAAAAGGAATTCATTGTAATTAGGATAATGCGTGGATTTTCATTAGATTGCAGAAAGTGAAGGTCCTTTACTGTGTTTGCTCAGTAAGTCTCGAACAGTTAAAATGTAAATTGCATACGCTATGTCCATAAAGCTAACCTCGCGATGCAGTGCCTGGAATAAGGCTATGATGCGGATCTCATCTTCCGGCGAGAATCCAACCGAGGGTCCTGTTAATTAAATATAATAGTTTAATCCTCGATTGTTTACTTCCGCAATTAGGATAATAAGTTGGCCACTGAATCTGAGCTGTAGAAGCTTTTAAACAGGATTTTTAGTATTAAAATCAATACTTCAGTAAATGTTAGATAGGAATATTATAAGAATAACAAAATGTATCAATAATTTAATTTTTGTAATAAAATATATTTTTACTAGGAATGTTATGAAAATATAACGAAATTTATATTTTGGATTTATTATATAAATAAAAAATACACATTATTAAGACAAATACTTTAAGAAGCTGTTATTAATTAAAGGAATTAAAAAATAAAAGTTTATACTTGTATCAAATTTGTAATATTTAGATTAAAAAAAATGTTTTTTTTTTTGGAAATTGACAAAAGTATCTCAATATTATTATTTTAATAAATAAAGTATTGTATTTATATTGTGTATAACAAAAAATTTGAATATTGAAAATTGCATGAACATCGTTAAGAGCATACGAGTCTAACGTGGATTCTTCATTAGCATGAAAAAAGGTTATACAGTCTAGCACAAAAACAATGATGATTGATGGCAGATGATACAGATGGATTATAATGATGATTGATGATGATGATAATCGTGACAATAACATAAAAAGAACAAGATATTCGAACATAACATGAATAAAAATTGGTATACTCTTTTCTCTCGGGAAAACATCTAGTACAAAAATTAAGTGAACATCTTGTAATAAAATGACATATGAAATATTGTTCGAATTAGCGTTAATAAATATTTGATAATTATATAATTATATAAGATATAAACAATAATCAGACTTTTCACTGAAAATAAGAAGGAGCTATTTTAAGTAAATAATTTGAATGAAATACATTTGTTTTTAGTATACTCTATTGAAAAGTAATTAATTAGTTTTCAATTCTGAAATGCTAAGGGTTTAATTGATAGTAGCAATTTGATCGATGCTTGAATCAATGCATAAATAAGGACTAAGAGCAATCCTCTTTGTTAATTATTTTCGTAGCCGCCGTTGCCACCCCTCGACTTTTTAATACCGTTCAATTAGCCTTTCATTAAAACCTCGCTGACTAATAAAATATTAATAATAATACGACGAAAAAAATATGGAAGGAGCTGAAAAAACAAATCTAATTAGAATTCGGCGAGGAGAGGACGAAATATGCGTGCTTAAGTGTGCATCAAAGAGATCCGTTTTTGTGTTCTTTGTTCGGGCAAAGGAACCGCCCCATCCTGGGCTAAATATGTTTTAAGTCTTTAATAGTCTCGATCAATAGGCAAACAGAGAGACGCCGGCTCTGCGCGTTCAGCAGAATTCGGGGTACGGAGAGTTGCCAGGACGTCGCAACGCCATCTGTGGACGAGGGTCGGCACTCCTTGACGGCGCCGTGGCCACACCTCCCGCGTAAAGGACGAAGCGCGTCGCGACGCCATCGTCGGCAGCGCCGCGTAAAGATTTTCATATTTCAAATCGTCGAAAGGGGCGGGGGTGTAAAAGGGGGGCGTGCGACGAGTGTAAGCCGAAAAAGTAGCAGGATGTGTAATAAAAGGGTGGAACGGTTATTTTTTTTCTTTTGGAGGGATGGAGCGTTTGAACGCAATTTCGGGTGGATTTGTTTAGCGTTGCAATGCAACGCTTTGGTATCCTGCGACTCCTTCCACAATCCTTTTTGGAAGGTTTTTTTTTTCGTTCGTCGTCTTGTTGCCGTAATAAATTGCGCTACTTTTCACTTGGATTTATTGGCAGCTGAAGGCGAGGAAATAGAAGGGCTCCAGCCCAGATGGGTTTAAATAGCATCGCATTTCCATCCAACTGGATCCAACGATTGCGTCCCATTAATACACGTCCATCGCAATTTACTTATGCCCTTTTGAGGGAAGAGGGAGGAGGAGGTTTGAAGGGACGACGTGCTGTGTTCCTTCTTTATCTGCGACAATGAAATATTTTTATTTTCCCGGAAAGTCACCCGAAAAGAAAACATCCCCAGTTTCTAGGCAATTACACACATATTCTCCGGCGACTTTTTCGCCCTCTCGCGTTCATTTCTCATCGCATGCCTTTTGTAAAAATGCTAGCTTATTCCCAGAAACTCGGCACTATTTAAAGCGAAACGGATGATGAATACTTTTTATATCGTAGTCTGTGAAGTAATCAAGACAAACAACAAAAGAAATATTGTAACATAAAGTATAGAAAACTCTAAGAATATTTATGTTCATTTCAGTTAATGATTAATACGAGCATAAATTGGATAATTTAACAAAAGAACCAAAAAACAAAAATTTTCATTCATAATCAGGTTTATTTACAACAATTCATTTAAAAAATCTGTTTGAATACAAAATTATATTGTAACAGGACAAATGTAGAATTTAGTAGAAAGTAAAAGTTTTATTTTTTTTTGTTTTGTAATTTTTATTATTTCATAGAAAACAATGTTGTGTTAAATACATGGAATAGAATAATCTAAAAAATCTGTTATGAATTTTCTATTGTATTTGAAATACAAATTATTTGTATGTTTTTGTTGATAATATTATGCTTTTATTGCATAGCATCTGAATATACACTTACAATATGAATAATGATTCAAGTAAAGCTATAATCCAACTGCAATTCAGATTTATGCGCTTATTCGTACTTTATCGTCCTATTACCACCATCCAAGTATAGGATAAAGTTATAACAATAATATTTGTTATAGTTTTACATAAACCAAAAACTCTTATATAATACAATATAAGCATTTATGGAATATTTGAGGCGCCGTAACAAAAGCACGCCGACATAAGCGCCCAGTAGAACAAGCACGTCAAATGCATGAGAATTTATATGTATTTTTAAATTTCATTCAAAACCAAACTCCTCGAACCTAAGATCTTTGGTAACTGCACGGCTTATGTCCTGCGCACTTTTGTTACCGCATATATTTGTCGGTGCGATTTTAACCTGCACGCTGTTGTCGGGTCACGAATATTTGAAGTTATAGTCTGCGGGAAAATAATATATAAAAAGCATTTTTCATTTTATATAACTTGTCTTATATATAAGCTAGTTCTGACATCGACGATGAATTTAAACTGAAATATTTATTTTTGCTCATTTTTAACTTTAAATAACGCGTACTACTTGCCAAGTAACGTATACAAGTATACACAAAGCATTTCAGGAAGCGTATGGATTTGTGAAATAAGCTGTGGTAGTCATGGTAACTCCCCCTATTTCACAAATATTGCCTATTCTTTAGTGATAGTCCCCATCTTTTGGAATTGATACGCTTCGATCAATGTTTCGTAAATCGTGTATTTAAACAGAAACAACTCAAAACATGCTTAAAATTCATGTATGTAGAAATACAAGTAAAATATAGGATTTGTAAATTTAAAAAATTGAAGTATAACGATAAGATCACCATCATCACCATTATTTTATTATTGTATTTTAAATTATTTAAATTAATAATAATAACAGTTCACAATACTAAAAAACAAATAAATATATTTTGCTTATTATTAGCTTACAAATAATATTA